CATAGTGACAGACCAAGGCATTAGTATCTCTGTGAGCCAGGAGATACTATTTCCAGTGTTTGTGTTGCAAGTAAAAAAAAACTTTAATTTTAAAATACTGTGAACTTAATATCTTAATTTTCACATAATCAATTAAGTCATCGGGCAAGTAAATAGTTTGCGTCTATATTCAAACGTAAACAATTTGACTAATATTAATGTACTAATTTTGCTTAGCCAATCAGCTTGAAGAATGAATGGAGTCGTGTGTAAATATAGCATGCTATTATGGTACACATCTGTTTGCGTGTGTACTGTATACATATGTATGTATTACGGTCACTGGACCGCCAGATGTAATTTCTGAAGCCCACGAGTCCAATATTAATTCAGAGATATTTCATATAGGCTAGGTAAAAGCAAGATGGTGATGGTGTGAATAGTGGCACAAAATTGTCATACTTTATTGCTTAGGAGGATGTTTGAAAAACTGACAGTTAACGGTCCGTCAGGGTGTGGAACACAGTGAGAGCCTTTAGGATGACTGACGGCCACACTGCTTTGATCGAGAGAGCACTTTCTGGCACTAAACACGTAATGTTTATGAGCAGTGCACTGTAACGTCCTTCAGTGTACAATCCACTTTTACTCCTTACTATAGGAAAACATGTTTGGTTCAGCCTACACTTGGCAATAGTGTCAAAATCAAAGATAAATCCCGTTCCATTTTACAAACTTGTCTGCATATATAAAAGCACAACAGCAACAAAATTCCATCATTTCTATTTATTTTTTAGTATACTGTATATCTCACATTAACAACTATTAGCAAAATATGTCTAGGATTTTTTTTCTAAATTAAAATTTCTGATTGTGCACTTGGATCTCTCCAAAATGTAACTTATTATCTGTTCAAATATAAAAAATGTGAATCGTATTAAGAATTGTAAATTAAGCAGGGCATTTTTTTCATGCCAGTCTTATGTACTTCATGAATTATGTACTTAGCACTGAAGGATAGTGAAAAAATGCTAATTAAAACGACTGACCTCTCTCACGCATGAAAGATGACTATGTTATGCATATACCATCTTGTCCAGACAGGTGGTGTATAGAAGCATGCATTTATACAAAGGAGGCTGTAATATTGATGGATTTTTTATGGTTTTGATTTACGGAAACAGTTAGTAAATCTTTCCTGTTTTTACCGTTTGCCATTTTATTCCGCATGATTACGTAAAGTAAAATGTCTGGTGATTCTGTGAAGAGCACGAATGAAGTCAATAACTCTTTATGCTGTTTTTATGATGGAGCAGTTGTGAAAAAGACGACTTATACATTTTTGGAGACACAGACTGTTTTGCACAATTCTTCAAAAGAACCCCAAATACCCATCGGGTACAAGGGAGGGTTTTGTGTGGGATCTAAGCTTCCAAGCTCATAAATCTTATAAAACAAAAACAACTTAATTTCACTTATGTAAAACAGCAGAAGTGAGACGGCTTCTCTCACAACCTGATGCTGAAATATTAACCCATGCATTTATGAATTGTAGCCATGCTTTTTTTCATTACAATTCACCTTCCAATAGTTAGGTTTGCTTACAAAAATGCCAATGAACACAAAGCAAAGTCCTGCATTGTCCATGTGGCGTCACCTTTTGTATAATGTGCTGGAACAGATCATAAGAGATTTTAAGGTACTTTTAATCGTTTTAAGTTTTCAACAGAGTAACAGCTGAGATTTAAGTTAATCTGTTCAAAGCCACGTCATACTTGCTCTATGGTTTTGTATCCTCCTATTAGACTAGCAGAGCGACAGCAGTATGTTATTATGCAGCTAAAGTTTTGGAATATATTATTACAAAACTTATACATTTTATATTCTCGTTTTGAATAAGTATTCATATTCAGCATTTCAGATTTTATTTTGATATGAATGGATTCATCTTTAGTTTTATCTAGGATGCTTTTATCTTGTCAAATGTTGAATCTGCATTGTGCTTCATTCCTATGTACACTGCAAACATTTAATGATAGTTTGAAGCACTTTGAGCTGTATCATTGTAGCTTAAGCCTTGAAGAATATATTATTATTGTTGCTGCCGTTGTTGTTGATCATTTGGTTTGATGTCCACATTTGAAATGTGTTCAAACAAAGTTGCATTTTGGTTTTCTGGGAGTATTTCTGACTGCCCATGATTGTTATTTTGTAAACTGTAATGCAGGCACCTTACAAGGTTACCATAAATGTTAGTAACTGAATAATTCATCAGCCTGGTAATATGAATGGACATATATGTGAATACTGTAAAGAAAGAGGCTTGCACAGAACATTTGGTACAATTCCTGATTCTCCAAACCTTGGGAAAGTGCACAGTCAGTTAGGAAAACACAGGAAAGGATCTTCTCACAACATGAAATTCAGATAAATTAAACATAAAGCTTAAATATTGTGACGTGATACATGGTGCTTATATCATATATCATACCCCACACTTTTACTTATAGTGTGATGAGATGAGAGTGTCTGATGAAACCTTAGCTCTGATATTATTATTCTATTACGGACAAACCCAAAAAGTGCAAGTTATGTCTAGACCGGACAACCGGACAACAAATATGCGAAACATGTAAAAATACACTACTTATCGGGGTAATTTTATCTTTGGCTGCAGGTGGTAAATGTTTATGTCCCATTCTTATCTGAAGTATTTTAGTGTCTGTCTGTCTGTGTTCGTCAGACACTCGTGGCCTTCAAAGTGCCCAGTCCAATAGGAAAAGTCTTTGAAATATTTAGGACTGATGAAAGGCCAATGACCTTCTTCTGGCAGCTTTCAAGAATCTGTTTCAGCTCATTCTAATATACAAAACTATTAATGTTGAAACCAGGATAAAGGATTTACCTTACGCCTTAAATTTTTAGCACCGAGAATCACGTATACTTTATTGCCGTAAGAGTCATGTTTATTCTCATAGATTTTAAGTGTTGTAGTTTTCACACATTTGTTCAGTGTTTTTTTTGGCTGTCGCTGTAGCTCTCCGTCAAAGTGTGGTGTCACGTTACAGACTCCAAAGGTGATATCACGTTTTATTAGCACTTGCTACTCCTTGATCTTCTCTGGGGAATCAGCACCCTTGAAGGTCATTAAAGGAGGTCATCAAAGCAGGCTGAAACTAAAATTTCACGCGAGTGCTTGATATCTGAAGTCATGGTGAAATGATTCATGTTCTGAAAGTGATGCAATTAATAGACATGTTTGGGCGGCGAACAAAATTATGTAAAACTGAACCTGCAATTTAAAAACCTAGTGATGATTCCGGCAATGACAGACTGGTCTTTCCTCTGTGAAAGCAGCTTAAACTTTGCATGAGATTAAATTATATATATTTTTTATTTCCAAGGCATCTGTTTTTATAAGAAGCTAATAGTTATAAAGCTGCAAGTTTTCAAGTATGTATATATATATATATATATATATATATATATATATATTATATTATATATATATATATATAGATATCAAAAATATCACATGGATTGTGGTTGTATTGCAGTCGTGTGATATTCATTTGGATGTTGCATGCTTTTTTTTTCCTCGAATGAATGAGAACATTGAATCCAAAACACAAAACGAGATAAGGACAACTGAAATAATCATTAAAAACAAAGAACGAACCGTAGGATTTTTGGGAAATGGGTTACACGCTTGATCGTCAACAATAAATAAAGCCGCTGGTGTTTTTTGTTCTCGCTAAGACGTTAATTAAACAAGCACAGCAGTGCGGCTTATTACTTTTTGGCTGGGAATTTGCATTCTTTGGTATAGTTTTCTGTTTCATATATATATATTCACCCATTGCCGGCTGAGAACCATGGTCTCGGACTTCAATTTTAACTAGTATTTTAACTTGCAAAGACCATTTCATGTTACATTCATGGCCCAAGCTTAGACTGGTGCTTCCATACCAAGGTATGCCATTGGGCCTAAGTTCAGGTACATCGAATCTCAGCCATTCTATAAAGCCACGCTGATGTGAGTTACAAGCTCTCCATGTTTATGTCTGAATAGTCCAAGCCATGCTGATGAAGACTGGGTTCTACGCTCATCGAACTCAAGGTCGCGTGTATTTTTATTTTTTATTTTATTTATTTTTTTTTGCTTTCTGCTGATTTGAGTCAGATTTTAGCCTGATTCATCAGCACATGCCTGCAGTGGTTAATGGGTGCATGTGCTGAATGAGGGAGGGGATATACCGCATAGGCAGCCTCCCCAGGTCGGGGGAACCCATAGGGGAACGGAAGCACTACACTTGGGGTGTCCACTTTGAACAGAAGCTCCTGGCCAAATCCCACTCCACGTGATTGGCTGGCCTGCACTTCACAGCTCACTCCTTGGAGCACATTATGACTTCCGTCTTGAGGGATTGAATTGCTCTGAGTTAATTGATTCAACCGATAACAAGGTACTGACACGGCAACAGAAAATTAGTCAGCAGATACAAATGTCTGAACCTGCGAGCACTGGCGGCTGGCACACACATAATTTGACTCTGTGAACAGGAGCCGGGCGTGAAACTAACTTGTTTTTTGACCAGAATAATGATAGCTAGTAGCAGCACGTTGGCTGGTCTCATTGTAAATATAATAAGGTTATAGGGTTGTGATTATTGTGCATGTGTTTTTGGATTTAGTAGCTTTCTCGTGGGATTGTGTTACACATCCTGAAAATTTAATTATAAATGATAAAGGACTTCAATAACAGCCACTGTCATCAAAACAGTAATGGTGAAATATTTGATTAAATGAGAATTGTAACAATCAGCCAGCTTAAAAACACATTTTGCTTCCATAAGAAACAGCCTCAGATTTAATCATTCCGTAGTGTTGTATTGTAATCTGGTGAACCGGCAATGGTGTTTTTACAGATATTTGCTGTTTTCCCTATAAATGGTGAGCAGCAGAGGAAAATTCAATCCACAGTCATATAATGGAAAACCGGTTGGAGACCAATCAGAATTTATAAGCGTTGCAGCATGTGAATACCTTTCAAGCAAATACTTTTTAAGTGTAAACAAAATCCCTTATGATAGTTGTCCATTTCAGGGTGTCTCAATTCAGTGTCAACGATTCACTTCAAAAGTATGCCTTTCACCTCGCGGGAACACTGGTGCCAGGAAAAGGCAGTGCAAACACAGAAAGGGAGCAGGCAAACAGCACACAGGCAGAAGTGCGACTGGAGTCAACCCTGGGGCGGGGGGGGGACTGTGCTGGGGGAGACTCACGCAAACACAGGACATGCGAACACCAAGACGCGCAGAAAGGCAGCTGGAGGCCGTCTTCAGGCCGGGAGGTGACCACACCGCTCGTTACAACTGCTTCAAAAAGGGAGAATGTCTTTTACAGTCAATACAGTGCATTTTATTTCGTTAGCTTTTACTGTATATGGGTATTTCTTACGGATCAGGGAACTTTTAGCTACATCCTCCAGTGACTCTGTCGAAAGAAAATGTGTGATACTGCATAAGAGTTGTACTCAATGTACTCATAGACTCAAAGTAGGCCCTTTCGTGAAGTTGATTACAGTTACAGTTTTTTTTAAAAAGTGTCAAATAATTATGGTAATTAAACATATATATTTATATTTTTATCAATTTTGAACATTTAAAATCTTTAGTATATGAAACTTTTTAAATAATACCGCTTAAAGCAATCAAATTATGATTTTATTTATTTATTTATTTTTTATGAAGGAAATAGAGATATTTTGCACACCCGAAACAGTCAGTTATGGTGCTACCATTACGCATCACTTTTGGTCAAATATTGGCCTCTTGTGGCCTCAGCAAGAATTACAGTCAATTCACGACGTGGAAGGTAACGTACATGTTTATTTAATTTTATTATGAGGTGCAGGATTTTATGATATACAAGAAATACTTTGCACATAGGTATCTGATTCTTATATTTTAATGACAGCTTTGAAAAGCCAAAACATAGCTTTCATATAATATAATGAAATCACTTATAATATCAAATTTATCTTCCAGCTTTTAGATTTAATTAAATCAGAAGCACATCTTTCATCATGTTTAGTCAAAGTAAAAACTACAATGCAATAAATCAAATTGTCTTTACCAAGAATATGATTCATGCTACACAATACTTCAAAAATAGTGCATACAATAAAAACACATCTGCTTTGTATTTGCTACTTTACAACGGATGGATCAACAAAGTAGAAAACACCAATGCTGGCCTATTTTTTCACTTAAATACTGACTCAATAATACAGTTGTAAAAGATTTTTTTTTCTTTAAAACTACATAAAAACGTATGAAACTTCAAAAAGACAGATAATAGTGACATAAGACAACATTGCTCAAAGGAAAATATTTTATGTTTTATATTTTAAATTTGAAATATTGTGTCGCACTTACCAGATTAAATAATATTTAATGGGTTAAAAAACAAAACCTTTAAAACATACACAAGAAGATTCCAAGCAATGGAATAGAACAGTCTTCTCTAAGTCTGGTCCTGCAATTACCCACATAAAAACCAGCAGTTCCAATACACAACAATTTTATAGCCCAACACACATTTACCCGACATTACAGAAACCAGTTGGTCTACATTGTGTTTGCCAATAAGACAGCAGTACAACAAAAGTGTTAAACGTGAGGACAAACAGGGAAGAGTCAGTCTATCCAACAGTTTGAACTAATGCATTTTTGCATTGTTTATTATAGAAAAATAATAAATTAACTTCAAAATAAAATATAGCCAAAGTACAAAGGAAATATGAATCACTCTCTTTTATCCGAGTACGGTGTGTGGAAAGTTCATCGTCATGTTTACAGCATTAGTCAAATATCAGTTACCGTTCAACAGACTTGGTACCCTGACTCCGTACAAAACTAAAACATTACTGAATACTGGTCTAGAATGTGAAATTTTTAAATTCAGGTACGTTGTTTGTCCTAACAGCAAAGTTCTGAAAAGCCAGACCGATAAAGCATTTGCATGAATGATTAATTTGCTAATTTGCAATAAGTGATCCGCTCTTATTTTTGACAGCACCAATTCTGATATGCTATGTGATAAGGCTACCCTGCAAATACATTTGACTGGACCAAGCTAAAAGGACCACAAACAAGGAAAGAAGAATATACCAAAGTGTGATTACAGGGTGATTATTCTGGCCTATAAAGGTAAAACACAGTAATTACGCTGACACTGAATCTGAGAAACTCTTGCTTTGCTTTTAGTGTGGAGTTTGTGCCTACTGTCATTTTTATACCTTGCTTTCTTCAAATCCAAGCATTGCGGAACCAAGATATTTTGTCCAAAGATAAAACAGAGTCTAAGAGACTCGATTTTGGTCAAAAATCAATTCTGATAAAATATGCAGTTACTGTGTTCTGCCTTCGTAGGGCAGTATTGTGGAAGTTTGCAGTCGGGCGTTTGGCCCTTGTAGAGAAGCAGGCACAGCAACAGGCTGCAAGGCACGCGGATAGGCTGCTGCGCGTCCCACGGCGGACGCGCCTCACATGGACTCAAACTCATCGATGCGCTGCTTGGTATTGCCTTGACGAATCTGCCGTAGGGTTTTGTATTTGTCCCGCCCCGCCCGCACGTTCTCGGCGTGGATGATGTCGTTTACAGTTTTCTTGGTCTCGTCCCGCGCGTTGGCCAGCTCTGAGCTCAGGGCCTGACATGAAACAGATAATGGAAAAGTCATTCACCCAGATCGCACGCAACAAAATCACTGTAGTAAAATAAATCATTTTGGGGGTGCTTTATTCAGCGTCCCCCTTACTTGGCAGGCAGATCAGCACTCCCACAGATAGGTATTCTCAAGTCATTACACGCTTACTCATTATGGGATGGCAAATTTGGTTATGAGATTTGAATGTAATTACATACTTTGTTAATGTATTTAGAGAAAACAGCAAAACCCTTAGCAATCAAGGAGCACATCAGTGAAGGTATTTAAAAAATACAATCAAGCGCATTTAATAATTGCCTCCTGGATACATTTCCACCTGTGCCATTATCATTGTACTTTTAGGACGTGCAGACTTTGTCCTGCGGCAAGAGCTAAAGACTTTTAAAATGCTTGGTGGACATTCTGGTGTACTGGAATAATACTAGAATTAGGACTATTCAGGATTACACTTCCTGCAGAGAAGCCTTCAGCACTGCAAGCTGCAGTTATTTTAGGTAACTGGATGCCTTTATCCTGTAGTTGGCAGCTCAGCCCTTGAGCCAACAGCGTATTTTTTGTGTAACTGTATCTGGGAAAAGCTGCATAAATTAGCATTCCAGTGTTAACTAGTGCAGTGCTTAGTAGGAGTGAAAATGGAGTATTAGCCAGAGCCTAATCTACTCTTAACAGACCAAACCCAAGATTTTAGGAAAAATCATACAGTGTTATTTGTTAATCTGACAGAGGTCTCAATTAAGAGTAAATTTTTTAAATGGTTTCTGATCCCTTATTTATATTTGGGTAGCACAGTCTTTGTTCTTCCCTCAGTGTGTAAAAAAAAAATCTGCCGATCTACATGCAATGACCCAAAGACATTATAGTAGCTTTGAATGTTACTGCTTGATCTTTATTTTTGTCCCTTTTGTTTAATTTTACTTCAAATATTCACGGGGGGGGGTCTCTATAATGATTAAACAGTAGGAGACATTGTGTTTTCGAGTTCAAACTTTCCAGGGCATGTACGGCTATATTTAGTAGCAATGTCGATGTACGCAAACGGACTCAGTGATCCTGGGGTGCCATGGGATTTCCACTGAGGTCCTGCTGTCCTTGCAGTCCCTGCCTGGGCTGACACACTCACCAGCAGGTGCTTCTGCACACGCTGGTTCTTCTCAGCCTCCGTCATGCGCTCCTCCTCGCTGCGGTCCCGGCATGTTGCGGCGGACGTCAGTTCCGCGCTGGCCTCGGCGCTGCTCTCGTCGTTTTCGTCGTGTTCGTTCTCCGCATTGAAAGACATGATCCTGCTCTTCTGTGCCTCCTTAGTCTTCTCCAGGTCCTCCTGCACCATCGATGCCTGCCAAAACCAATATATTTGTTTAAGTACAGTCCTTTATCAAACCCCTAATATATTATGATAAAGTCCAGGTCAGTATATGACTAAAAATATAAATATTTGTAAGTACCAGCAATTTAAATTTATGCATTGACTACTCTAATATGTTGGAACAGCCATATTTCATTTTGTTTAATACATTATAAAGAACTGAGCACAAAATCTCCTTTCAGGGGAGCAAAATTTTATTATTATGCAGTAGTAAATCAGGCGTTCATCTCCCATTTGTAGCGATATCGTAAACTTGGATTTACAGCTGGAGATGGGCTAGCGGTGGGATGCAGTGCACATCTAAGGCTAGATTCCTGAAACGTCAGCTCAGATCTTGCACTGAACATCGTCCTCCTCCAGCTGCCAAAATACTGTTCATAAAATCACAGAAAATCTTCCATTTTGCCCACTTTATTATTCAGGAAGGAAGGGAGGAAGTCATATTGATCCCCCATTAGAACATCATGAACTTGAATTAGAGTGGAAGATGGACCAGCAGGACCATAAATATATTTTATGCCTTTGCCATAAAGCAAACCGACCAGATAATTGACATTCTGTTTGCTAGAAGTATCCTATAACCATTCGATTTCAAAACCATTTTGACAAATTTTGGCGAAACGTAAAACAAAAGGTAAGCTGATTTGTTCACCTTGAGAGGATGAACGACAGGTGTCACACCATCCTACTAAAATGATGCCATTTGCTTCTCACCTTGATCTGCCAATCCTTGGCCTCTTCATCCTTCTTTCGTTTGGCATCCTCCAGAAGCGAGATCTTAGAGGTCAGCTCAGCTAGCTCTGTGGCCTGGGAGACAGAGACGGTTTTTCTGTAAACTGAGCCATTAACCCCAAGCCAAATGAGTATAAATTTAAAACTATCTGCAGGCACTACATCCAATGCTCAGCATGCTCAGTGCCAAACCTACACCACTGCTTTTGTTTACCACCTTGCCGCACTGTGGCCTCCCCACCAGGGGGAGGCACTGTGCGTGCAGAGGTCACGTGGCTTCCTAGTGTTTATGTGCAATTCCCGCAGTACTCTTAATTGCCTTCCCCATCAAATGGTGCTCGCCTTAGTATGTATGTTTGTTTTACTGCCCTTCGGGGTTCTTATTAAAAATACTTTGATGAATGGCTGCATTACGTATAAAAATCATTCACACCCTAATATACCACTTTCAGTAAATGTGGTCCATGAACTGTGAATACCTTAATGTCATAAAACTAGGAACACAGCATTGTAATTAACTAGTTTTAATCTGCGCAGTAACCGTCCGTCCATCCATCCGTCCATCCATCCTCTTTGTAAACCCACATGTCCTATGCAGAGTCCCAGAAGGTAGGCAGGGAACAACCTATGATGGGCTGCCAACCAATCACAGCAGCAGCAACATTGTTTTTAAATGTAAACAACAAGCAATTATAGATAGATAGATAGATAGATAGATAGATATAGATAAAACAGATGCTGACAAAGAAATCAGAGAACCTTTTCTCTTAATGGTATTACAGGCGTTGTCCCCCAAATAATCCCCCCCCCCCCCCATATCCTTAGGAAACACTTCTGTAATTTCTATTAGAAACATATAGAAAGTTCAGGAAAAACTATTCAGGTGTCAGCATCAGTCACTTGATCATCTGTTCTCCTTAAAAGTGTCCAATGTTTTAGATAGCAATCGATATGTTTTCCCATAACCGCCACAGTAAGCCTACGCAAGTGTATGCCAGGAAGCCCAGCATATGCCCTGGACAGGGTGCCAGTCTACCATAAAACACAAACACTTCAGGGTTCCAGGAAGAGACCTGATGACCCAGAAGAAACATTCACAAACAAAGTGAGAGCATGTGAACGCCACATAGAGAGACAGAGATCGAACCCACAGCTCTGGGGGGGTGTGAAACTACCACATTACCCAAAGAGTCAACTGCTGCACTGCGCTCATTTCTGCATCGTAAATTCTCAATTAGACGGCGGAATCTTTCCTCCACTCCTACTCTTCTGGTCTCTAATTGTAAATTTCCCTGGTGCTATTGACCCTGGACAGAGCTCTGAGGTTACATGCTTACTGGGGTTTGCATGAAATTGAGAAGAACAAATAGTCATCTATTCACAGCCAACAAAAAGAATGGAAAATACTTAAATTGAAAATGCTCTTAATTTTAAATGGAATTCTCCAACGTATTTAGTGGAATTGGATATACAATTTAAGCAATGTTTGGTAACATCGACAAGGTATTATGAATATCTTAAGATGTTAGAGCACAATTACTGTTTCATTCCCTGCATCAGAAAAGAGTTACACAAGATTTATAACTCTGGTTAAAGCTGTTTCAGTGCTGTGATTTTGGCAGAAGCCTCACTGAAACTTGTATTGTATATTTATGGTATAGTATACTGTTGGTGTCCAGGTACCTTTGCAGTTGGAGATCAGCAATTTTCTCAAGGACTCTTGAGAGAAAGGGGACATTTCAAACAGCCGTGTTTTCATTAAGCATATGAAGATGTATGTTTGGCATCATAAGTACTGATTACAGCCATTTGAATTCCAGGACAACACCTGAATACAGGGATGTAGTCATTATGGTAACACTTTACTTGAAGCTGTCATCTATAATGCACTGTATATACCTCCATAATGCATTATAATGGTTAGTATTAGGATTTAGAAAGCTTTATCCTGCATTATGAAGGTATCCACAGTGCATGTTAGATTCATAAAGAACTTCATAAAGCATAATTAACATGGCTATAATGTGTTATGCCTTTTTATAAATATAAAATATTTATAATGCTTTATGAATGCATTATAATGTGTTATTGATGTGTTAATAGATTCTTATAGACATGGCATTCCTAGAAAGTGTGGTCCAAAGGCTCAGGTTCAAGTACTTGTATTTTGTTTTTTGAAATATTATATGTATTATAATCAGAACTTTTTTCAGTTATGTGATTTGCAGGTACATGGTTGAAAACACTATCCTGCCAAGCAGATGGAATGCATATGGTAATGGAAACAGTAACAGTAATATGAGTGTCTCTGTCATACCAGGATCTCTTGGTTCTTCATTTGGTTCTCAGACTGCTTCAGCAAGGCAGCCTTGGCCTCCTCAGCCATCCTACGATCCTTCTCCAGGCGCTCCGCCTCCTCCTGCGCACACCTCCGCTCCTGCTCCAGCTCTATGGCCCTCTTCATCTGCTCCTCCAGCGCTGCGTGAGGAACACTCCCAAAGCTAAGGAGACATTTCCACGCCTATGCAGATGCCCCTCGACTTACGACGGGGTTACCTTCCGATGAACCCACCGTAAGTTGAAAATATCGTAAGTTGAATATGATATGAGGTGACACACTTGGGCATTTAGTAAACATCATGGGTTTGGGAATATTTAGTCAGACGTAATAATAACACAATGCGATATCTTGTTAAACACTGTATGGCCCCTACAGAGACCATAAGTGTGGATGCTGAAAGTATATTGTACAGAATAGCACTAGACCACGGACAAATCAAAATGTAAAGTTTGATGACTAGTGAATGTACATCACTACCGCATCATCGTAAAGTAGAAACATCGTAAGTCTAGCTATCATAAAGAGAGAATGTAAGAGTAACACAATAGGGGCAGCGTGTGGCTCAGTGGGCTAAATCTCTGTGCTTGTGATCACAAGGTCGCCGAACTGAGCCCATCCTCGGCAGAACAGCCACTTGTGCAAGGCCATTAACCCCCATATCCATGGGTGCTGCTGCAGGCGGCTGCCCTTCGCAGACTAGCTTGTTCTCACATATATATGTGTCATAGAGACCAAGATGGGGTAGGCAAAACGAGAATTTTCCCTTGGGAATCAATATAGTGTCATTAAAAAACTAGTAAGAATTTCTTCTGTTCTCCAAAATGTTACTGATATTCTGTTGGATGGCTAGATGAACGCCGCTTAATTTCCCAAACCTCTCCTTAGGGGCACCTCAGCCATTCCATGTATTTATTAAATTTCACCACCAGCTCACTTCAATTCATTAATTTAATTAGTTTTACAAAAAAAAGCTCTATGAGATGTGCTAGGGGGTCGAGTCAAAATCTACATGGGTGTGTTGGATGGGGGCTGCAAACACTGGGGAGATTTTAGCAGAAGATTTGAAAAGACTAACACACTCTGACAGGCATAATAGCACAGTTTTACAACAACATGAAGATCATTTAACAGTCATTTTCTTTGGCTGCCTAAGACTTTTTCACAGTGCTTTATCTCACTTGCAATTAAGCATTTCTAATGAAAGACCGGGGTGACCGCAGTTACGGTCGAGCCGTTTTCCCGGTATGATCGGACTCCTGATTGCTTGCTCAACACTCAATGCTCAAGACAGCATCTTAGTTCAACATACCCCTATAGGCACCTTGTATCCATGTAGGTTGCTACTCTATCCAAGCACATGTCATGACAACCATATCCAAATTCAATCCAAGACACAAGACAAATTCCCATAGGCTGCACACTTAACTGTGCCGCAAGGACAGCCGCTAAACGCCTGGATACATTCACAGTGGATTTTAGCAAAACCACTTGGTTTGTCACCCGTGATGTCAGCTATGTGATCAAGGCTGGTAACTACACCCACGGCAGCTCCTTTGACCTCGCAAGCACAACAGCAGCTTAAAATCCAAGCTTTATAGTAACATCTGACCTTCTTGGGCTTTTCTGGTTTGCTCTTCACTCTGAATCATCCTCTCTCTCAGCTCCTCTTTCTCCCGCTCAATCTTCTCTTTCTCCTTCTCAGCGATCTCTCTCTTCTTCTTCTCGTTCTGCAGCAGTGCCCTTTCATGGTGATAATGGGGCCCCCGGATAAAGACAAGATACCAAAACCAAGATGCCGAGATACCTCCCACAGGTTATGCCCAACACCGGCTCAATAAACAATACCAAGGCAATAAAAGAAATATATTAGATAAAAGTCTAAGTCATTTTTCCTAAAGATTACACTGAAACATACTTACAGAGGCTTTTCATCACTGTGATAAGACAGCAGTGCGCTATGCATCTTTATCTCTTTAACGCGAAGCCATCGTGCATCCATGTCCCTGACCCATCCCTCCTCTGCACCTCACCTCTCCATCTGTTTGTGGTGTTTCTCCTCACGGGCCTGCGCCTTCATCTGCTGCACCTCGATGGTGTCGGGCTTGCGGCGCCGCATGTACAGCTCGTGGTTGCCCATGCACAGGGCCAGGATGCGCTTGTTGATGCGCAGGCGAGGTGCGTAGAACACAAAGTCCTGCGACACACCGCAGAGAGGATATAAAATAAACACACAATGAATAAACAATGAATAGGAACATTACAATGCCATAATGGTCTGGATGGGATATTTAATTTTCAAAATACATAAAGGAATCTCAAAGTGGTAGGAGGCTTTGGTTGCCTTATCTCATGGGCGCATATTTATACGAAGTATACAAGAAACAGCGTGGTTCCGTCCACAAAAATCCACATCAAATCCACTTGCTTTTTAATACAATGTATAGCTGTTGATTTTTAGCTAAATTCATAATTAATTATATTTTGTGCGGTTTTGATACTTTTTTAATACTACTTTTAAAACAAAAGACTTTACTTTTTATAATGACCTTGTTGGACTTAAAAAAAAAAATACACGTGATTCATTTTAATTCATTCAACCTTCCAATCATTTGTCCAGTAGGATGCAATTTAATAACAATAATTAAAGTATTTTGTAAAATAAAACAGCAAATTTGAATTATGTGTCATTATTTTCATTTTAATGACTCTATTTTCCCCAATTCATCATGTTTTTTTTTTTGCTTTGACAGGAAGGGGAGGGTCGGTGTTGTTCTGGAGATTTTTTTAATCTATCCGTCATTAAATTTGAGCCACATACGGTTTTAATTTATCCCTGACAGCTCAGAAAAACATTACAATGAGTGCCTTGTGAAATTATACTTGCCATACCGGGGCTTTCTTGTCAATTGGTTTGATAACAAATTTCTTGTCGCTGAAGGAAATGTTCCTAATCTCACTCCAAGGGAATCCGATTTTGGGAGTCATCCTGTTTAGGGAAAAGCGCGTAATGTATTATAACATGAAATCACTGACAAAATTTATCGATGTACATGCTTGAATCTGTCTGATTCAAATCTGAGGAAGAAGTTGCTTCAGTGTTTTATTTTCATGGACTTAACTAGTGAACAAGAGCTACAAGCTGTTGACAGATAGAAAAATGTAAGAGCGGCTGTACTTGTCATTCTGTTCATAGATGTTGAGTCCTAATGCATCAACACCCAGCCACAGCTCCGATCCCTTCTTGTTCTTGATGCTGAAATAATTGACCCCATACATCTCGAGATCCTGGGCAATCTTGAGGTATTCCATCATGGAGTCCTCTCTGTTGGCAGACAGCTTATTAGTTAATTCCCTCTCACTGTATTTAATTTCTCCTCTTGCCACAATAATTTACATAATTATAGTCAGTTCAGTTCAACCAAAGCAGTGGTTGTTTGACACACCGTGAGTGTAGTTTAATGCAAACTATACTTTGCATTGCATACATAAAACAGACCTAGAAAAGTTTTATTTTGCTCGCGTTTAATGTGTCTTAATAAGCAGGTATGCGCTGCTGTGTCTGTTACACAAAGTTAATAGAGGAAGGTGAGAGAATATTCATTTTTTTCTGCAATACATAATTTAATCTGAGAATCACTCATTTGACCCAAAAAAAAAAAAAATTCAAATTATATTACAGATCACTGACCACTTATACATAATTTAAATTCCAACAACATTAAGGCTCATTAAAAATCAACAGCCAGTTTAAATTCTCTCCTTGATGCCACCACACTTTGTGCACTCTGAGAAATTCTGCCCACTCTGTGTCTGCCATATTCTAACTGAAAACTCCATCCATCCATTTTCCATGCCCGTTTTCCTGTGCCGGGTTGTGGTGAGCTAGGGCACAAGGCAGGGGAACACCCTGAACTGGGTGCCAGTCTATCGCAGGGTACACACGCACATAAAGCCACACCCTATGGAAAATTTGAAAACAGCTAGTCACCTAAACAGATGAGGGACCCAGTGCAAACAGGAGAATATGCAACACGGCACATCTTACTCTGATTTACCACAATAAATACTTTCAACCTCGGCTGTTTTTCGGGAATAATTCTAATACTCCAATCTAGTCCACGGGCGTAGGTCCCTTGTGTGTTTAGGGGACGGGAGGTTTGTGGCTGATTTGGTCCCTACCAACGCTGAAACCCAACCCTACTCCCCTGTTATTTCTTTCCTTCTTCATTAATTGACCTCAAGTCAAAATTTACCAGTACATGGAAATAAGGAAGACAGTTAATGACATGGCCGCAGGACAAAATTGTAGGGTGAATCTCAATATTAAGAACGCAACGCTCATACTTGTGGTCCTTGCCAGACCGCTCTTGCTAAACTTGCCTCCCAAGAATGACTTTGGAGCGAAATGAATCATGGGATTGGTCTCGTTGGCGAGGATGCAGTTGTTGCATCCTTCACATTTGGGGCTGGGCAAGAACCACGTCCAGGGATTTTTACCGTCTTCCATACTTCTGTTCTTGAGTTTTGGTCTTCAGTAATGGAAGATGACGTACAGTAAAACAGGTGCACAAGAACACAAGTATGGTCAAGAACGCATATTGAGAAACACCCCTAGTGCAAGCTGTGGTCCTTGTGTGTCCCGAGTACACGTGCCAACACAGTACACACCTTGGCATGCCCTTGTGCTCCTCGTGCCACACCTGAATCCTCTCCTCCCACTGCTCCTTACTCAGTTTATGCTGCTCCAGGACTCTGGTGACGCAATACGAAGGACATGTTACTCCTGGTGCCACCACATGCATTAAGGATACATTTCCATTCACAATTACCATAAATTAATGCTTTGACTTTGGCTGATGGTAAATACCATCATCAGTGCCTCACATCCATATGCATTATTTAACAGTGTCAAGCATAGTCCATTACTGCATCTCAAAATCAATGATGGTATTAATAAGGAATGTTTTATAGAATGTGACTGTAAGTTTGTATAATGATGTTCAGACTACTCTGTTCAACTGTGTTTGCATGTTGCCAAGATGTGAAAAATGTCTATCTTAGCATACTTCATCACATTTCATCATCAGGAAACCAGACACAATTTTTCTTCCAAAGTTCATTAATATGACATTTTATTACATCACAACCATGATCTTCCAAGAGCAGAGAGTCTGGGTAATAGTTCCAAAGATATAATACAGATATACAGGTAACTGGAGGTCCATGATACAGTATGCTACTGGTTATCTAACCAGCACTGACTATTGGGTTTTATTGTGAAATTTGAAATTTATTGAGTTAAGTTTCATACATCTTGATATTTCGGTCAAAACTCCCAGTAAGAAAATGTCACTCTGACCAGAGGACTCAAGAGAATCTTCCCTGGAACACTGGGCTTTTTAATAACTAGATGTATTTAATGAATAAAAGTAATATGAGGCACAAAGTAATATGTGGGTTATTATGTTAATAAATAATGTTTTATTGCTTCCATTTAACAAAATGCATTTTTGTAATGTTTAGAAAATCACTGGTGTGAAGTAATACTACATAATTAATGTGGAAATTAAAATATCATTATAGCAAAAGGAATTCAATGCCCTAAGTTGAATTTACCATAAATGAGACATACCTGTCTGGCAGCAGCTTGTCACTGGACAGATACCCAGACAGGTGAATGTCTGATTTGTAATCGCCGTATTTAGTCTGCACCGCATAAGAGGCAAGCAACACTGCCGTCTCCGGAGGGCAGTAGACGTCATCATTGAGGATGGACTCCTTAACCTGTAGGAAGAAGAGCCGTTGCGTGGCCTCCTGGATCAGTTCTTCGGACACGTCCTCAGGGAAGAACTTGGCCCGGAACTTGAACTGGAGCGGGTTTTCTTTGCGGACATGCTGAGCTGTCACCTGGAAGGGAAGAGTGGACTGGAGGGTCAGTGTATAACGCTCAGAAGGTCAGGAGATGCATGAAGAAACCATTGGCAACCAGGAAGATGGAGATCCGACTATGAATATACAGGTCAAAAGGAAATAACCAAGAATTGTAATTTAGTTTAAGGGCTTGCAGATCGTTCACTATAATAAGAACCCACCTTCTTGTTGAGTCTGAGCCACGTAGTGAACCCTTTGGTGTCCTCATACTGTAGTCCGAAGAACCAGACCTCTCGTAGCCCAATTGTCAGAACCACCTTCAAAGAAAGTTGGTAGCGAATGACGATTAATGAGCAGGATTTGGGAGAGTTATGGGTGGTGGCATTTTAGATGATGATAAATGTTAAAATGATAAAGGAAACACAACGTTGATTTTCATGGGAAACAAAGCGTTTAAAAACCCACCGAATCGCCAAGTCAATTTCTGTCACAATGTGAAGATTTTTTTTTGTCACGGGTGAGGTACTTAAATTGGTGCAATCCCAAAAGAATTATGTTTGACTTTGGCTTTTTTTTCTTTCCATTCAAATACAAAGAGAAAAGCTGGATAGGAAAGACTAGGCTGTCTGCATTCACCCAAACAATCTTATCAGCCAATAGCAGGCAAGCCGTTTTAGGCATGTGATTCATGAGTTTGGCTCAATTGCTATTTAAATACAATGCAATCTGGTGCCCTCCACTTCTACTTAGGTGTGGCATTGGGAATGATATGAGAATTGCTTTCGCATTCTCCTCCATACCTATGGAGCCTAAAGCGCAGTGGGAGTTCCACTAAATCAGCAGCACCTAGTCTCCCTTTACCCTCGAGCTTAAAAAAAAAATGAAAAATTTGCAAAGACTTGGTGCTGTTCAATATCCACAACAACCGTTATTTGACATAACTTCTTGCATAGTCGTTAGGGGATGACAAACTCTTAAGCAGCCTTCTCACCCATGCGTC